ATCTTACTTGATTAAACCATTTAATCAAAAAGCGCTAAAAAATTGATTGTTATATCTATACTATTTTCATACCTTTAATCTTTTAAAGGGAGTTTGATTTGATTTAGAATAGTATAAAGAAAAATAAACCGAATTTGGTTACTTAACCATTCTAACTCTTAGATTTTATTTGATAAAAAAATATCTATTATCTAAAATACATTACATATTCAAGTATATATTAAGAAAACAAAGCAATAAGTTTTTACTTTTAGATTGGAAAGATTTATATTGAACTAAATATTATAAATATAGATTCCTGCTTTTCTTAAACAACAAAAATGAAAAATTGAAAAGGTAAAATAGGTATGATGATAAATATTATAAAAAATATAGTTAAATATACCAAATCACACAATTAATAAATTTATAATTAAATAAAGCAAAGAGGACAAAAAATAATTATTTTATTTCAATTAAGAGTTATGATACTAACAAAGAGTGAAAATTTTGTCTTAGGATACTCCTTAGCATATTTATCAATTTTGTTGATAAAATTACTTAACAGATTATATATATAATTTAAAGAACATTATAATAATATGAAATAGAAGATTATGGAGTATTTTATCAATAGATCAAATTTTGTTTTTAGCTTTACTTAAATAATTATATTTTAAATAATTCGAAATAGTGAAGCGATGCTAATGTATTCGATTTTGTATCGACATGCTAGGTAATATGTCCTCCGGTCTATTATGAAACTTATTGTATAATGGATGGCATTTGGATGGTGGAGGATATTTATTGATAAAAATTTTAGATTTAGGGTTTACAACATTTTATATATATAGTAATTTATAAATAATCTCTTATAGATCAACTGTATTAAGAGTTTGGGTAGTAGTTCAATTAAATGAATAACTTGAAGAAAGCATTCTAAATATTTTTAATATTACTAAGATATAATATAGGTTTTTTTTTATTATCCATTAATAATAAATGATTATCATTTAAATGTAATTTTGAGAGGATAAAAAGGTGAATTTAATGATGAATTCAGTAAGTCTCAAATTTATTGCCAAAATTGATCATTAAAGTTATTTATTAAATAATTATAGTTAATCATGAAGATTTGAAAAATAAAGATAGAAATATACTAAGGCTTAGAACTTTCTTAAAAATAAAAAAGAAAAATATTTAGAAAAAAAAGTCAAATTAAATTATAATTAGTAATTGGAAATAAGTGACAAACATACAATAATAAACAAATACAACTAATATTTTGATTTTCTCCTTAAATATTACATAAAAAGATCAATAAAAATCAGAAATCTAAGCTACCATTAAGGTTTTATAATAATATTGTAACTTTGTTATTTGCTAAGATCTTACATACTTATTCTTATATTCTGATACTACACTATATTATGCTATCATTACGCTTATGATAAAGTCTTGTGTTTATAACTGATAAATACGTCCTGATTTTGGAAAAAGTGCTAAGTCTATTATAAGAATAAATTTGAATTTGATTTTGTCTTTAAAGATGGAATATGGATGAAATTAAAAGAAAATTTTTCATAGCATTTAAATTTTTGAGTTTTTGGATAAATAAAACCCTTAATAAAGAGTGTGACTAGATATTAATTCTCTTCCAAAAAATTAAGAGTTGATAACTATAATACTAGAAGAATTAATTTTATCAAAATCCCTAACAGCTTTCTTATTTTTCTTGAACTCACAAAAAAAGCCTCCCACAGAGACCACACCTAAGTAAAAATTATTAAAATATTGCATAAGTCAAATATCAATATCACAATAACTTTTTAACTTTTAGAATTAATTTAATATTAAAACCATTTTAAAATAAAAAAATAAATAATAAATTGCAAAAAATCTTGATATAAATAAAAAAATTGCAACAATTAGAAGCAAATGCTTTAATAACCATAAAGCTTAATATGACATCAATAATAAAATTTTTAGTTATTCAACTCTTGGTTTGTGAGTCAGTCAGTATATTTAGTATTATTTAAAACTTGTTAATTTATTTAATGGCCATATTACTTATTGTTATTCTACTTGCTATTAAATATGTGCAAAACAGAAAATTAGTAAGTTTTTAGAATCAAGCAAATTTTAATATCATGAAAAACTAGAATCTAGGATAATGAATTGCTTTTACTAAATGAGCTATATATACAAATAGAAAATGATAATTTTACTAAATATTTATAAACAAGAAAATTTTGACCTGTTAAGGAAATTCGATTAAATTACATTTTCAAGCCAATATAATAAATTTATTAGGATTTTCACCCAATAAAGGAATAAATTATTTTTCAAAAAGTCGTGCAAACTAAGTTTTTAGAAATAATATTATTGTATTGAATAATAAAATATACTCGTTTTTAAAAGATAAATCATACCTTTTTGATCTATTTAATTGTGAAATAATTCCTGTTGAAAAGAAATCTAATATAGGGAATTAATATAAACCCAATAATGCTATAAAAAGATCAATTTAAAAAGTCTTAAAAGAAAAATTAACTGCTATAAATAAATTTGAAGCATTTAGTGAAATGCTTGCTGCTATTTAAAAACAAGAGTCCCGAATATGATTGGCTACTCTCATTTCAATTTAACATGATATAAACAATAAGTAAGGACACTGTTTTATTAATTAAATCTGCAAGTTCCATTCATGATTCAGAAATACAGATATATCTAGTTTTGCATTTTTTTTTTACTTAGTTTGGAGATAATATGTTCATTTAATCTACATTTAGTATTGATTTTTTATGTACCTGCTTTCACAATTTCTTCATTCCTTAGTGTTTTTGGTCTAGCAAATAAATTATAAGTAGGAATTTGAACCAAGATGATTAGCATCATGTACAGAAATACAATCTACATTTTTCACCGATTATATCCCATCTATATTACATAGATAAAATAAGAATTGCCTGCTTTACTAGATTAATTCCTTAAAAAACTATATGAAACTTCTGTGGGTAAATAATGTGATCCTTCTTGGAGTCTATAGGTTATTAAGATCAAGAAAAACTTAACAATAAATTATCCAATTCTTAAATATACAGTATCAAGCTTGCACCAAAAAGATAAATCACA